GAGCAAACATCCGAGTCAGGTGAAGGCAGTCACTAGGTGATAACTCCAATTGAAACACCTGACCCTATAGGAGCGTTTCGTGGGGTGCAAGAAGAGTGAATAGTCACAAACCAAGACACCCATCCTAGACCATGAAGTTGCTTTCAGAAGCTAACAAAATAAAACATGGAAGCATAGCGGGACCCTAATCTTCAAATGCAGTCTAGACTACCTACGACAACCCGTTCTTCCTGTCTGACAACAAAGACAGAAGGTTGGCTGCGTATCATCAGAGTAAGACATAACTAAGCACGGATGGTGGTGGTGGTCTGTTTGGACCTGAATAGAGCTGTAGAGATTCTCTACGGATGCATGTCACTCTAGATGGTATTGATTGACCGCCATGTCCCCCAACAAAGTGCAAGATCGAAAACGAAATACAACGTCATTGTGTGGGCTCACACCCTTCGTTAAATAAATCAATAGATTATCGCTGATGAAACGATCCATTTTCACCCGCGTCAATATTACGCTTGCCATATTAGCGCTTTAAATAGTTCACTACTGGAAATTCCAGGATGATGATTACCAATCCACATATTCTTGCAAGGCATTATTTTGATAATGTTTCACCAATGTGCTTAAAATCCTAACTAGGGGGAGTAATAACTCCCGAAAATCTGTCGTTGGGGTATGGTGAATGGGCCATTCACTATGCGCAATAGGGAGTAGTAATACAATCGAGCGTCTAATAATTTTGGCCGTGCATTAAACTAGGTGAAGATAGACTCTTGTGCTAGTAAAAGCGAGATAAAATCGATACGAATCGAATTAAGGGCTTTACAAATGAGTGTATAACTAAGACCTGAGTGTAATCTGAATGTTCGCCACAGATACCTTATTTCGGCATTCACATAGTAGACTGTTGGGGATTGACGGGGCATTTGAATTCAGCGCCTGAATCCAAACCAACCAAAAGGAAGCGTACGAACCACTCACACACACCTTTCCGGTTGTAACAATGGTCACCGGCTCAATTGAGCATCGCGGTGTATTGGGCACCTTGAACGTTTAACCCTGTCCAAAGGGCGTATGATCCGATGAACCGGACACCGGCTTCCAACGATTGCGGTTTTCACACCACCCCGCTGCCTCGTGAGTTAGGCTTTGGCTAGCCGAAGGCTCCGGTTGTGTATTCCTCAAGAAAATTCCCCTGCAATGGCCTGGGCAATCTGGCAGCATTCGGCCCACATGCAAAAATTATTGTACCATGATTTGCTTGGCACACAGTCTGGCCTCAAACGGGTGTCAAATAATCATTTATTTATTTTTCTTTGAATTCCATCGCGCGGTCAGTTACATCGTCAGATTCTGAACTACATGAGCAATCTTCATTGGATTTTCATCTGCGGCACATGTCCTTTGTTGCAAAAGAAACGTTGGTCATCCAAAATTCTGTGAAGTACTCTGCTGCTTTTATGCAGCACTTTCAAAACTGGATTTTACTTTCTTCTGGCAAATCGGTTGGTACCAGAGAGAGAAAAATCAACGGAAATCTTTTGTGGTTTTCCACAAAACATCGAGCTAGATGGTAGGTCACACTAAGCAGACTCTGTCTCAGACATGCATTTCAGCAGTTATTTGATGAAATGTGCACTCCCTGGTTGGTAACATGGCAGAAGTGATTTACAGTAGATCCAATTACCAATTCTACATTCAGAATCGAGACCGTCGGTGTCAATTTCAGTCCGAAAACTTAACCAGACTAAGAAATATATTTGTACATAATGACCCCTTAATCTTTTGTGATAACCTGACAGAATATTTGAAATTCTGATATGATGTGTGCTGCACGTGAAAACTTTATACGTTCTGTTAGACCGTTTCTCGTCCCCTACAGTTGAACGATTACGTCAGAAGAAAGGACATGCTATCAAAAGGCAAAATGCCCTCTTTGGTGAGAGACATCTTGAAAGCAATCAAGGCGGAACTGTGGAGATGAAACACCACTTATGTACATACACTGTTGATCAACAGGAATCTTCTCGATAAATGGAAAATTTTGTTACAGTTCTGAGGCCCAAAACGAAGGAGAATCTGCCAGCTGTCAACGTGGACGATCTCAATCACCAATTCCGTAATGCTAAAACCGATGTCCCTGTTCCATACACAGCAGCCGTCCCCCACCCCCTTAATGTTGCTAATTTAATTATGGACCAAAGAGAAGTTATCAAAACTTCCATCATTCCGCAGTCTAATAAAGCATGCGGTCCTCATCGACTGCCACTTGCGATGCTCAACGAATGTGCAGTGTCCCTCTCACTTGTTTTTGCCGACCTGTTCAACCCGTGCTTTACTCAGCATTGCATGGCGAGCTACGGGAAAATTACTTCTACCACGCCAGTAACCAAAAACGGAATATCTAAATTTTGCCCGATCACCTGCACGTCTATTGCCTTGAAAGTTCTAGAAAATATTTTAATACAGAAAATGTTGTCTCAGCTAGATGCACCTGATTCCACTCGATTTGCCTATCGCAGCTCCAGGTCCACCGTCGACACGCTGGCGTTCCTCATTCATCATGTTTCTTCTTCCTTGGACAGAAAATGTAAAGCTGTTCGGCTGTTTCTTTTACTGTAGTGACGCCTTCAATTGTGTTGACAGGACCAAACTGCTTCATATTCTCTCACTCTCTCAGTCGTAACTCAGCAATTTATTGCATAAT